ATTTCGTTTTCTTTTTTTTCGTTTCTGGCTTGTCAAAAAAATTGATACAATTTTTCTTACTCAAACCTTATAAATATTAGGCGGAATTTTGTATAAAAAACTTCCGCTTCGTCAGTTTTTACAAAATCGTTTAGCAGGACGCTTACAAACTAAAAGACATATATTTTTGTTGTTGCTACAATTAAATCAAATATTGCTAACTCGAAAACTTGTTTCGCTTGACATACATATATTTAAATATATATAGTTGTTGTTGTTGTTGTTGTTGGTGTGTAGAAACAAAACCATTATCACAATCGCTTTGATGAGTAAACTTAGAAGCAGGAAGAATTTCAGGGGGAATCAAAATGTTGTTGTTGCTGCTGCTGTTGGTGTTGTTGTTGGGGCCGTCGGCGTTTTAGCCCATCAGTTAAGACTAATATAGTCAACGGTTTTTGCTTTTGACGGACTTGTTGTTGTTGTTGTTGTAGTAGAAGTAGTAGTAACTGTTGTAGTTGTTGTTCTTGTTGTTGTTTACTCAACTCTGCGCTTTTCACTGCGATGGTTTGCGCCACTTGCCACACTTACGTCCCGCTCGCTGCACGCACTCGCTGGCCGTGGAGTCCATTAGCTGGCGTATCGTGTTCAATACAACTGTTGCCATTTGCCATTGACGTAGACGCAACAGCTGCTTCTCCTGTTCGCGCGCCTTGCGCAGCATTTCCTTCTGATCCGGTATGTAGAAGGCCACAGCCATGGCTGGTGTTGTTGTTGCTGCTACGCTTCTAGTTGTTGTTGTTGTATTGTTTTCAAGGAAAACTTTGTGTGTTCTTTGTTTCCTCAATTGCACAATTGTTTGTAATTAATAAATGTCTTTCTTTGCTGCGTCTGACTCAAGACTTTCTCTTTGCAGATTCACGCGAGGCACACAATGAATAAATTAACTACACAAATGCTTTGTTGTTGTTGTTCGCATTTACGCACACGTCAATATAATGTATCTTTGCATGTGTGTGTGTTCGACGGTTCGTTCACTTTGTTTTGCTTCGCTGCTGCTGCTCTGCTTGGCTCTGCGTCCGCTCACTACTTAGGCTGATTTCAAACTGGCTGGCGTGAGCGCAATGCAGGCTCTTTTATATGCCTTGCTCTCGCTCTCGCAGTCGCGGTCGCAGTCGGCGTCGCTGCTCATCGTTCGCCTCTCTCATCGTTCTCGCTCGTCGACCGTCGACGTTCGCTCGCTATAGAAACATTTTTTTTTGTTTTGGTATTTTTGTTGACATCGCCTCATTCGTACATTTTTTTGTATTTGTTGCCAGGTCGWGCGGCTGCATCTGCAAAGTGGGCGTGGGCGGGGCGGCCACCTTGCGCCTGTTGCCAAGCGTGTCTCTCGTTGTGTATGTGTGTGTGTGTTTGGCGTCGCTGTCGCCGTCGCGCCTTTGTTGTAACTGTATGCGGCGAGAAGTACAGTTAGCATATTAATTGTATTAAATCGTCGTCGCATGACAAACATTTTCAACGCAACGTCTAGAAGGCAAAACAGGAGCTGACAGGGACAGAGAGGGAGAGAGAGACAGAGAGAATGAGAGAGTGTGAAGGAGAGAGAAAGTCGTATAGCGGGAGCCTGTAAGAGTTGGGAAAAATGTGGGCAAGTGGGCAAGTTCGTTTGCCAAGTAAAAAACCCAGATAAATGTGCTTTCATATAAGTAATTATTAATTTGCTACACATACACACATACACTCATACGCCCATGCATCAAGTTCACATTTTTGATGAGTTGTCAGCGCATGAATATGACGAGCCTTTTAGCCAGGTCTTTATCAGCACATTTCTATGAAAGTGTTTTACAAATGTTTTTCCCGTCACTTCCGACTTCAGTAGCCAGAGGCATGTACACAGATACAATATACATATATACATATGTATATCTATAATATACATAGTAGCTAAGTAGTATAGATAATGAAAGTCTGTCACGAATTCTTTATAAATTTACACACACTCATGTTTATATAAATTTATAAACATATTAACGTATATATTGTTCAACAATGGGCTTGTCAGTTTTTGTTTATAATTCGCAAATATTATCGTATTCATTAGACCGAAACGATCTGAGAATTATTATAGCATTAAATGCAATTTCAGACGCTAAACGAATACGATATACATACTACATATAAATTTCCGAAATTTCACATGAACGCATTTCATTCATAATTTTACAAATAGTATATATATAATACTATATAG